CACGCGTACAGTCTGGAGGTCAAATCTCGGATCGGCTCCCATCCAGGCTAGGCAAGCCTTCACTGATCCATGAAGGGTGAATTAGCAACAGATTCATCAGAGAGGATAAGAACCCTGACTATAACATCGCCTGCGTCCCCCCCCCCCTTTCCCCCACCATTTCATTGTATAAAACATACCTAACTCAATCAGCTCAATTCTGAACGGAAAGAATGCATGCCGCATCCCATCAACGGTCAAGACTCCACTTCTTTTTTATGCAGTATTATCAACAAGTGTCATTGACCAAAGAGATTAATGAGTAAAAAGGCACCGGCTGCCCTCACCGAGTGTTACCAGTGTGAAACCGGTCTACGTGAAAGGTTCGGCCAACCCCAAACATGAGCCATTTTTAAGATGACCAGGATTCTGATGAGGGTGGGGCTATGGATGGGGTCGTGTAGCGTTGACAGAGGGTCATATTTGGCGTGAACTTGCTGACTTTTTTTCTTTCTAGGCATTATCGATGGTAGGGTGGAAAGTTGGTGACAGCAACATGGGTCGAATTTCGAGCAGGGAGAGGGGTTTAAATCTGCAAAAATTTACACGAAATGATGGTGTGCCCCGTATCTTTCAACGAAACTTGTACTAGCAGGTGAAGACCTGCCATGAAACGACTGCTATCAGAAGGAGCCAATAAGTCCTGTCTCAACACACTATCGCCATGATTTGTAGCGTAATTATCAGTGTAACTACTACAAACTACAATCAAACTACAAGAACCACGTTTAACCTGGACCTAGTTTTTCTAACGCTTTGCTGTAGTGTCAGGGCACAGCGTGGTGTTAAAATCTCCAACACTGTAAACAGTATTAGAGTCAGCCTGAAGAAAGTCAACATAGAGGCTGTACTTCAAAGGGTGGGGCAGTGAGTTGTGAATAGGGCAAAATTACCTGAAAATTATCACGAGAATTATGAATTATGGTAGAATGCCTTGACGGCTTCTAGTTCCGCTTGGCCTTTCCTTTCGGTCAGCCCATATGCATATAACCACCACTTTTGCAAATAACTCAGTATTCATAAATTCTAGAACGGGGACCGCTAAGGTGAAACAAAGCCAACTACTCCAAAAAACGGGTAGAGCTGAAATCGCGTCAGATCGATAGCTCAGTTATGACCCGTTCAGGAAAGTGCTCACACCGCTGGAAAATATACTGAAAATGCAATGGTAATTGAAAGCTGTTTGATAAATACAATAACCAGTATAGCGTTCGACCTAACCCAGTTGCCGCCAGGCGAAATAGACCGGAACTAGTCGTGTCCTATCAATGAAATGTGGGTGAATA